ATGATAGTGGTGAGGTGAAGGTGTCGAAGTAAGTCCGAGTTCCATTTGAGATAGAAAGATATAAGGACGAGGTGATGTGTGATGTTGTACCTATGCAAGCGGGCCATGTTTTACTTGGTAGGCCATGGCAATATGATCGGAAGGTACATCATGATGGGTACACTAACCGATATTCATTGATAATGAATCAGAAGACCTATACCTTGGTGCCAATGACACCTAGTGAGGTGTATGAGGATCAATTGAAACTAAAACGTGAGGCTAAGAGGGAGAGAAAAGGTGAGAGAACCGAGGGTTTACGAGGAGAGACTGAGACGCAAGGAAAAGGAGAGATCGAGGAAAGAAGAGTGGTAAAAGCCAAGGGAAAAGGAGAGAGAAAAGAAGAGAGGCAAAAGAATTTCTATGCAAAAACCAGCGAAGTGAGGAGAGCTTTAATTCTGGATCGACCGATGCTTGTACTTTTGTATAAGGAGGCACTATTTACTACTAACGATCTTAACCCGAGTTTGCCTAGCTTTGTTGTGTCTTTATTGCAAGAATTTGAAGATGTCTTTCCCGATGAGCTTCTTGGAGTGTTACCCCCAATTCGAGGCATAGAACATCAAATCGATTTGATACCTGGTGCGCCACTACCTAACCGACCCGCATATCGAAGCAATCCCGATGAGACAAAGGAACTTCAACGGCAAGTTAGTGAACTATTGGAACGCGGGTATGTGCGAGAGAGACTTAGCTCGTGCGCCGTCCCTGTTTTGTTGGTGCCAAAGAAGGATGGGTCATGGCAAATGTGTGTTGATTGCCGAGCAATCAACAACATTACGGTAAAATATCGACACCCTATTCCTAGGTTAGATGACATGTTGGATGAATTGCATGGTGCTAGCATATTTACTAAGATCGATTTGAGAAGTGGTTATCATCAAATTAGGATGAAAGAAGGGGATGAATGGAAAACTGCATTTAAAACCAAGTATGGATTGTATGAGTGGTTAGTCATGCCATTTGGACTAACTAATGCACCTAGCACGTTTATGCGACTTATGAATCATATATTGCGTGCTTTTATTGGTCAATTTGTAGTTGTCTATTTTGATGATATCTTAATATATAGCCGAAGCCTTGATGACCATATTGAACATGTCCGAGCTGCTTTGCAGATTTTAAGGACCGAGCAATTATATGCTAACCTAAAGAAATGCTCTTTTGTGACTAACAAATTAGTATTTCTAGGGTTTGTTGTTAGTGCTGATGGTATACAGGTTGATGAGAAAAAGGTGAAAGCAATCCGTGAGTGGCCGACACCTAAGACTGTGGGTGAGGTGCGCAGCTTTCATGGCTTAGCAAGTTTTTATCGACGATTCGTGAAATACTTCAGCACCATTGCTGCACCTTTGACCGAAGTTATCAAGAAGCACGTGGATTTCACATGGGGAGAAGAGCAAGAGAGAGCATTCAATCTGTTAAAAGATAAGTTGACTAACACTCCTTTGTTATCTTTGCCGAATTTCGGTGCTGCTTTTGAGATAGAGTGTGACGCTTCTGGTACAGGAATTGGAGCCGTGTTAATGCAAGGAGGACGTCCCATAGCTTATTTCAGCGAGAAATTAAGTGGAGCAACATTGAATTATCCTACTTACGATAAGGAGATGTATGCTTTGGTGCGAGCCTTGGAGACTTGGCAATATTACCTATGGCCAAAGGAGTTTGTGATCCACACTGACCACGAGACCTTAAAATACTTGAAGGGACAGTAAAAATTGAATAAAAGACATGCCAAATGGATGGAGTTCATCGAGACTTTTCCATATGCGATCAAGTACAAGAAAGGTAAGGAAAATGTAGTAGCTGATGCACTTTCTCGAAGGTACGCAATTCTAACTACTCTAGGAGCAAAATGTCTAGGTTTTGAGCATATCAAGGACTTCTATACTGATGATGAAGACTTTGGAAGAGTGTTTGAAGCTTGTGAACATGCTGCATTTGAAAAATTCTATAGGCATGACGGCTATCTCTTTCGTGAGAACAAGTTATGTTTGCCTAAATGTTCTATGCGTGAGTTGTTAGTGCGAGAGGTGCATGGTGGTGGCTTAATGGGACATTTTGGCATTAATAAAACTTATGAAGTGCTGTATGAACATTTTTATTGGCCACACATGAAGAGAGATGTCACACGTGTATGTGAGAGATGTATTGCATGTAAGCAAGCTAAGTCTACAACTAAACCACATGGCTTGTATACGCCTTTACCTATTCCGAAGCATCCTTGGGTTGATATTTCAATGGATTTTGTGTTAGGATTGCCTAGGTCTAAGCATGTTCGGGATTCTATTTATGTGGTTGTTGATTGGTTTTCAAAGATGGCTCATTTTATACCCTGTCATAAAACCGATGACGCATCGCATGTTGCTGATTTGTTCTTTCGTGAGATTGTGCGTTTGCATGGCATGCCTAGGTCCATTGTTTATGATCGAGACACTAAATTTCTTAGCTACTTTTGGAAAACATTGTGGAAGAAGTTAGGCACACAGCTTTTATTTTCTACTACTTGTCATCTACAAACTGCTGATCAAACTGAGGTAGTTAATAGAACTTTAGGGGTATTGTTGCGTGCTATAATTAAAAAGAACATAAAGTCTTGGGAAGATTGTTTGCCACATGTTGAGTTTGCATATAACAGGAGCATGTATTCTGCTACTAAATTTACACCGTTTGAGATTGTTCATGGCTTTAATCCTTTAACTCCATTGGATTTAACCCCTTTGCCTGTTGATGAGCGTATGGACTTAGATGGTTCTAGGAAGGTCGAATTTTTCAAGGCATTGCATGAGAAGACGCAGTTGAATATTGAGCACAAGACTAAGCAATATGCAAAGCAAGCCAACAAAGGGCGCAAGAAAATAGTGTTTGAGCCCAGCGATTGGGTTTGGGTTCATATGGGCAAGGAGTGTTTTCCCGAACGGCGACTTTCTAAGTTACAACCGCGAGGGGATGGACCGTTTATGGTATTGGAGAGGGTTAACGATAATGCCTACAAGCTTGACCTTCCAGGTGAGTATGGTATTAGTGCTACTTTCAATGTTTCTGACTTAACTTTTTTCGATGCAGGAGATGATTTGAGGGCAAATCCTTTGCACGGGGGAGGGAATGATGTGGACATCGTGCCATATCGAGGAGGAGGTGCTAGGGACCCATTGTCCTATCCTCTTGGTCTGATTACTCAAGCAAAGGTGAAGTAATTCAAGCAAGCTATTGGCATCATGGTTCGAGATCTTTGGAGTGGAAGCGATCTTGGATCGGAACTTGAAGAATCTTGGACCTCTTGGCGCAACACGATCAAATTTGGTCAGTTGCAAGGAAACGGGCCGCTGATTAATACTCACCGCTAATGCCGTAACCGATGTCGTTTTTTTCCCGTTTCGGAGTAGTTTAAGTTTTTTTTTTCTTTATTTAAGCGCTTTTATTAATTCTAGTGGCGTTTTCGTAATTTGCATTTAGGGTTAACACCATATAAAAAGGGTGTTTAGGGTTTCTTTTGAGACAGATGATTCACTTTAAAACAATGAGAGGTTCTTCTCTTCTTTGAGTTCTCTGTGGACTTGACCTTATCAAGGCCTTTCTTATGGCGGTCGATTCGACTAATCGAGTAGGATAGCGAATTCTCTTGTTCGTGACGTCTATAACGTCGATTGATTGACACAAGTTCGTCAATAGGTCACGTTTATACCGAGGTTACTAATCACAGGTTCGATTGGGGGTCGAGGTTTTGCGATTCGCACTTTCCAGATCCTCGTAGAACGATCAACTTCCGCTCAGATTCACTTCACGAGGGGTCGTTAATAATCTGGACAACTACGAGTGTTAATTGCATTGGGGAATGCTTTGTGTTCAAGAGTGATATTTGAGCATGTCTGGATTATTAACTATCGATATGTATGTTTATGCAATGCCATGACTTGTTTGTGTTTGGTGACAATGTGTGGTATGGTGAGACCATTGAGTGTTTGTTAGAACATATATATATTTTGCAAGTTGGTTGTTCTAAGGAAAGGTTTTACTATTGAGTTACCCTGATAGATAGGATTGCATGATTAGGGTGATCCGGAGGTACGTGCTACCCTAAACGAGGCTTAGGGAGTTTACTTATTGAGATTTATTCTCATTATTGCAATTCAAACCTTTCATACCCTCGACCATGAACATGAATGGCCCTCCGCAACGTTTTGGGGTCCCAATGGATATGGAGCATATGTTGGCGAAGTTTTCGGTAGGTAAAGATAGGGATCCTTTCTTTTGGATGCCGTCTTTTGATAGAGAAGTTAGGTAGATCGACCACCCAATCCTTTTTGAGTATGTGTGTGGTTTGTAGTGGAGGCCTCTAGTAAGGCTTGTTTGGTATGCCGTTGTAAGTAACGTTATGTTTATAAAGTGGTTTGTTATTCTGTTTCATTTATCTCTTTACTATCCTGTTTAATTGAATGTTGAATGGAGTGTTCGAGTTGCTTCCGCATATATTACTCTTAGTTCGTTTGTATCGGGTCGGCAACTAGTCCTGGGTAGTCGTATTCTTAACGACCAAGCGGGGTGTTGCGAGCTCGTAGGGTGCGGGGCGTGACATCCCTGTTTAATTGGTATCAGAGCAAGGTTAGCTCGATCCAAGTTCAGTCGAGACCTGGAGTGATAAGGAGCGATGGCTTTTGGGATAGTTAGTTAGGGAGACTTGCCTTGATCACAAGTTTAGAATGTTTAATGCATGTCCTGAGAGCATGTGCTTGTGATTGCTGGGTGTTTTTGTGTTATTATTCTGGATTACTAACGTGCAGGCGCAAAAAGTTAAGAGCTAGAACCTTGCTAATTGTGTACTTGTGATACTTGTTTTGGTGATTACTTGCTTGTGATTACTTATTGAGGTTTGCTGCTTAGAGTTGTTTAAGCTCAAGTAGTTGGTTTAGGTCTCTAATTCCTCGGTGGAATTATAGTAGGCTGTGTGAGATTGGAATAGGATGAACAACCGGGGTAAAGGGACTAGAGGTCAGTCAAGTTCTCAAGCAAGACCAATGGAGGATCCCAGAGTGAATGGAGTCTTGAGAGCCCTTGAGGCGATTGGACAGTTAATGGGACAACAGGCTCAAGAACGAGTTGCTGCTGCGATTGTTGCTGCCGAGGCTGCTGCCGTTGCCGCTCAAGATAATCCGGGGAATGGGAATGGAAATTGTCAGATGCATCAAGTGGTAGAACAGTTTCTGAAACTTAAGCCACCCAAGTTCAATGGAAAGGGTGATCCCGAGCCTGCCACCCTTTGGGTTGAGGAGTTGGAAAAGGCTTTTGAACTTCTAGGGTGCACGGAGGAGGAAAAGGTGGCAGTGTATCAACTCCAAGGTAATGCAAGTGACTGGTGGAAGGCCACCAGAGGTAGAATCTTTCCGGAAGGCATGGTTCAGAACTGGGATGCCTTTGTCGAGGCCTTTAACGTGAAGTACTTCTCTAAGAATGCACAAGAAAAGAAAATGGCAGAATTTATACGGCTTCGTAAGAATCAGATGACCGTGGATCAGTATGAGGCAGAGTTTGCAAGGCTGTCTAAGTTCGCACCAAGAATGGTCGAGAACCATGTAGACAAGGCAAGGAGATTCCGGGATGGTCTGAAACCGAAGCTCCGTAGTCAGTTGATACTCCTAAACCTAAGGGATTACAATGAACTTTATGAGAGGGCTCAAATTGTTGAGAGGGATATGACTGAAAGGGCTGCCGCATCTGGATCGCGGTACGCACAGACTAGAGACAATCGTAATTTTGGAAAGAAGCCTATGGTTGGCAATAGACGATTTGTCCCTCCTATTAGAAAGAATATTGGGAAGTCGACATTCTACTCTAGTGCCCCGTGTCGATCTTGCGAGAGGAGGCATGAGAATGGCCCTTGCCTTGGCAGGAATGGAGCGTGTTATGGATGTGGCCAACATGGTCACCAAGTGAAGGGTTGCTCGAATTGACAAGTTAGACCACAAATGCAATCGCAACAACCCAGAGTGGGACCAACTGGGAATTCTCCGCAAAATAATCAGAATAGACCGCAGGCGCAAGGAAGAGTATATGTGATGGCAAAGGAAGGAGGCGGAGGATGCGTCTAGCGTGATCACAGATACGATCTCTTTGTGTGATCATGCTGTCTATGCTTTATTTGATCCAGGAGCATCGCATTCATTTGTGTCAAAACAGTTTGTTAGATTGACTGGAATTGAACCGAAATCGTTAGGAGTACTTCTGCATGTTACCACCCCTCTAAAGGATGAAGTGCTAATTTCAGTAGGATGTTCCGAATTGTAAGATAGTTATTGGTGGTAGGGAGGAAAGGATAGATTTGGCAGTTTTGACTATGTTTGATTTTGATGTTATTATTGGGATGGATTGGCTTGTTAAGCAGAAAGCTGTGATGGACTGTAGTAGCAGGGTGATCCAATTTAATCCGATTGGTCATCCTAGATATGAGTTTGTGGGAAATCGAGGAGGAACCTCGATTCCTTGGATTTCATCGCTTGAGGTGACTAAACTGCTGGATGAAAGATGCCAAGGTTACTTAGCGACTATAGTTGACTCGTTGGCTGAGGAGCCAAGGCTAAAGGACATAGCCGAGGTGTGTAACTTTCCCTTTGTATATCCTTAGGAATTGCCGGGATTACCACCTAAAAGGGAAGTGGAATTTGTAATTGAGTTGGCCTCAGGGACGGAGCCAATCTCTAGAGCGCCCTACAGAATGGCATTGTCAGAATTAAAGGAATTGAAGGTTCAGATGAGCTGCTTGATAAGGGATTCATTCGTCCGAGTGCATCACCATGGAGAGCACCAGTGTTGTTCGTAAGAAAGAAAGATGGGTCATTGCGTTTATGCATTGACTATCGGCAGTTGAACCAGGTAACCATCAAGAACAAATATCCATTACCAAGAATAGATGACTTGTTCGATCAACTGCAAGGGGCATCGGTATTTTCCAAGATAGACTTAAAAATGGGCTACCATCAACTAAGGATCAAGAAGAAAGATATACCGAAGACGGCATTTCATACAAAATATGGACATTACGAGTTTACCGTTATGCCGTTTGGATTGACTAACGCCCCAGCTGCTTTTATGGATTTGATGAATTGGGTATTCAAGGAGTTCTTAGATCAGTTTGCCATCGTGTTCATCGACGACATTTTGGTATACTTGAAGAGCTTTGAAGAGCATGAACAACATTTGAGAATGGTTCTACGGATCTTGAGAGAACACCCACTCTACGCCAAGTTTAGTAAGTGCGGGTTCTGGCTCAATCGGGTAGCATTTCTTAGACATATGATCTCCGGGGATGGAATCTCGGTGGATCCAACTAAGATTGAAGCAGTTACGAATTGGCTAAGACCTACGACAGTGACGGAAGTTCAGAGTTTCCTAGGACTTGCAGGCTATTATAGACGATTCGTGGAAAGGTTCTCTACGATAGCCACTCCTTTGACTCGTTTACTAAATAAGGAAACAAGGTTTGAGTAGACGGATAAGTGTAAGAGGAGTTTCCAAGAGCTTAAGCATAAGTTGACGACCGCCCCTGTATTGACAATACCATCAAGTCCTGGAGGATACTAGATTTATAGCGATGCATCGCTAAAGGGATTAGGAAGTGTTTTAATGCAGCATGGAAGAGTTGTTGCATACGCATCGTGACAGTTGAGACCTCACGAGCTAAACTACCCGACTCGAGATTTGGAACTAGCGGCTATCATCTTTGCTCTGAAAATTTGGAGGCACTGCTTATGCGGAAAAAAGGTTTCAAATCTACACAGACCATCAGAGTTTGAAATATTTGTTTTCCCAAAAGGAGTTGAACATGAGACAGCGCCGGTGGATGGAACTTCTGAAGGGTTAGGACTGCGACATTTTGTATCACCCTGGGAAGGCTAACAAAGTAGCAGATGCACTTAGTCGGAAATCGAGCATCGCATAGATGATGGTTAAGGAATGGATTCTACTGAAAGGAGTACGTGATTCAGAGTTTAAATTTAAGGTAGGTCACCTCTCGAGCTTGTTAGCCACCTTAAGGATCGAAGCGGAGATTCAAGCTAAGATTAAGGCATTACAATCTACGGACCCTGAAATTCAAAAGATTATGAGTATGGATACAAGTAAGAGAAAATCCGACTTTCAAGTATCCGAGGATGGAATTTTGAAGTTTCGTGGACGATTATGCGTTCCCAATGACGTTGAGCTTAAGGACGAAATCTTGGTTGAAGCTCATCATAGTAACTACAGTATTCATCCGGGCAATACCAAGATGTATCAGAACTTACGCGAGCACTATTGGTGGAACGGAATGAAAGTGGATATAGCCAAGAACGTAGTTAAGTGCCTAACGTGCCAACAAGTGAAGGCGCAACATTGTAAGCCTGGTGGACTGTTGTGACCATTGGAAATCCCAGAATGGAAATGGGAATATATCACTATGGACTTTGTTATGGGTTTGCCAAGGAGCCAGAGAGGCCATGATTCTATTTGGGTTATAGTCGACAGGTTGACTAAGTCAGCACATCTTCTGGCAGTGTGAAAGGATTTCGCAATGGATAGGTATGCCGAGCTGTATATGCGACAAATAGTTCGTCTTCATGGAGTACCAGTTACGATCACGTCAGACAAAGACCCCAAGTTTACCGCAACCTTTTGGAGAAGTCTTCAAACGGCTATGGGGGCGAAGCTGCAATATAGCACAGCCTATCATCCGCAGACAGATGGCCAATCTAAAAGAACAATTCAGACGCTCGAGGACATGTTACGAGCTTGTGTGATAGACTTTAAAGGAAGTTGGGAAGAATAGTTACACTTGGTAGAATTTGCATACAACAACAGTTATCAATAGAGTATCAGAATGGCACCATTTGAAGTATTGTATGGCAGAACTTGCAGAACTCCAGTGTGCTGGGATGAAGTTGGGGAACGGAGTATAACGGGTCCGGAATTGGTACAACAGCCAGTCGAGGCAGTTAAGATCATTTGAGAAAGGCTTAAGACCGCTCAGAGTCGTCAAAAAAGTTATGCAGATAAGCGACGTAAGCCTTTGGAATTTCAAGTGGGAGATCATGTCTTCCTCAAGGTGTCACCAATGCAAGGAACCTCTCGATTTGGTAAGAAAGGAAAGTTAAGTCCAAGGTACGTAGGTCCATTTGAGATCTTAGAACGAATTGGAATTCTAGCCTATCGACTCGCTTTACCGCCGAATTTGTCTCAAGTTCACAACGTCTTCCACGTATCCAAGCTAAAGAAGTATGAGCCGGATCCAACCCACGTGCTGAACTATGAAGAATTAGACATGGACAACAGGGTGTCATATGTGGAGAGACCTATTCGGATAAAGGACAGAAAAGATTAGGTTTTATGAAACAAGACGATTCCGTTAGTTAAGGTAATCTGGCAGCATCACGGAACAGAAGGAGCCACGTGGGAAAGCGAAGAAATCATGAGGCGTCAGCACCCCCATTTATTTGAATGGTTTGAGTTGGTTGTAAATTTCGAGGACGAAATTTTTGTAAGGGGGAAAGAGTTGTGACATTCTGAATTTCGACCCATTTTCGGGATTTATGAAATGATTATCTCATCGATGCACTTTCAGTTAAATCTCACTCTGAATTGATCACTCATGAGATGACTAACCGTTAGGGAATGGCTAGTTAGGAATTTAGTACACACGACCTAAGGACTCAACCCTGGATTGACACTTCGACCATAAGGATTGACGAGGGGATATTTTGGGCCATTATAAACCGATCCAAGGATGGTTATGGAATGCTTTGCAACGTTATACAATGGGGTCGCGGGTGATTCCGTTTGGCCATTGTATGAATTACGAACATTCCTAAATCAATTTATAACGATCGTGTCCTTCAAAGCTAACGATTGATCCTCGCAATTACATGACAATCGAGGTCACCATGGTTTGAGTAAACTTAAACGTGGCTTGATATTGAATCAACCACGGGTTGAATACGCGTAACACCTAAAAGCCGCCCGTTAGTTTGAGATACACTAAAGTTGCAATTGATCGATTTTGGCCATGAATTGGAATCCGAACTTGGGTATCGAACTTTCGAGGATATCAAAATTATTATATTGGACATTACCTCTTTAAGCTCGCATAGTTATCGGTTTGCTCGGAAATTCTTGAAAAAGTGAATTTTGGCTCAGGAATTGGAAAATACCCTTTCACCCCTTAGTGTTCTAGAACTTCTTGGTTGAGTGGGAGGGCATGTTGGTCTTTGTACCCCCTAGTGATTCCAAATTTCACGGACAGATTTGCCCTTCTTGCTTTGGTTATTTTCCTAATTGCCCCTTCTAGAAACCTTTCCAAGAATCAACCCTAGCCTTTGGATCTTGACTTGGGGAGCAAGAAGTGATTTCAACCCTTCATTTGGATGATATTATTTAGCCATTCTCTCTCTCCCCATCATTTTTTCAGATCAGCCATTTCTTCACTCACTTTCACTCTCACTCTCACTCTCACTCACACTCCACCACACCGACCAGCCACCACCGTCCACCACCAGCACCATCACGCCACCACCCCTAGCCGCCGTTCAAGCCGTGACCAGCCGCCGTTCGTGGTTTCGCCGTTTCGCCGCCCGCCGTTCGCCGGAGTAGCTGCTGTATGCCGGGGGCTGTTACAGCTGGTTTAGTGACACTTTGGGCTTAGGATTAGTGGTAAGTAACTTCCTAAACCTTGATTAGGTTGATGGGTGACTAATGGACTAGTTTAGGGGCTGATTTGTGGTTAATTGTGGGCTAATTAGTGGCTAATTATGGGCTGATCTAGGGTTGATTAGTGTATGGCTGATTAGTGGTTAATCATGTGGTTTGGATTGGTTGATCATGTGATCATAGTTAATCGTGTGGCTTAGAATGGTTGATCATGTCCTAATTGTTTGATCATGTGGTTAATTAGTTTAATCATGGCTGATTAAGTGATTAATGTTTG